CTTTCAAGGGGCATCATCTTACCGCCCTACCCCCACCCCAGAGTCTTCAGCCTTTCGTGGGGGGCGGGGCCTCCGGGCCAGACAAGGCTGGGCACCCCCGAGAGGAGCCTGAGGCTGTCAGCCGCCGCCCCGGAGGGGGGGGCAAGGGCGCCCAGTGGTCCAAGTGCCCGGTGCCCTGGGCGGAGCCACGGCCATCTGACCCCCAGAGGCACAGATACACGCTCCCTGCTTGGGTTTCATGGATTCCCAGCCCAGCTGCGTGGTGGTGACTGGTAAGACTATTTTTCTGCTTTCCCATTTGCGCTTTTAGCCTGACCGTGGAATGTGCACTTGCCTGATCTGCTCATAAAGGGTTCCCTCTTGGGGAAGAAAGGAGTGGCAACTGGTAGTGCCAATAATTCCAGATGGAAGCTTGCTTCTCGCTTCTTGCCATGTCCTACTGAAAAACAGCTGACAGAGAGGCTTTTCTGCTCTGGTCCTCTCCTTCAATTCAAAGGTACCTACCTCTCCTTCAATTCAGACTCAGACCTTGTCCTTCCGCCCAACTGGGGAGGAATCCGAGGCTGGCACCTGCTGTCCCTGAGTCTGGGGCCCAGTGGGTCCATGTGGCATCACCTGGGGTACAGCTCCATAGCAAGGCAGTGGCAGCTGGGGATCCAGAAAGGATGGGGCCTTGTAAGGCTTGGACAACGGTCCACCTACAAGAACTACCCCCAAAGGAGAACACAGCCCCCAGCACGCAGACTGAAGAGCTTTCAGCCACTCAGAAAGCCCTGAACACCACCGGAGAGCCTCCAATTGGAGACCCTGAACCCCAAAAGATCAACTTGGAGTGTTTATCTCCTACTTGATCTCCACTCCTACCTTTCTCCAGTTCATCCCAAATCAACCCCTGCCACCCCCAGTCATTGTCATAGCTGGTCCCAGAAGGGTTTGATTTCTTTACAAAGTTCCTTCTTTCTTTGATTTCTTTACAAAGTTAGACACTTTTGGCATATTTTAAGTTTTTTGAATTGTGTGAAATGAAGGAAACAGGAGACAAGGATTCCTATGGGCATGGAAAATCGAAACGTTACTCTCTTAATATTTTCAGGCTATAATCAAACTCCTGTTAACCTTCTGAGGAAAAGAAAATTCTTTTGAAAACCTTTTATCTCCCTTGTTCTCATTTGTGTTATTTGGGGTATAGAGATTGAGTGGTTCAAAATATTCTTGAATTGCTAAGGAAACTGTACCCCTGATGAATGCAATGCTTGTCACAAATGAAATATGAATATTGAAGCCCAGTTGGCATGTCTTCAACTCACGTGGACCCCTGCCTCTTGGCCTGTCAGCTTGTGGTTTGCTGGCAAACTCTAGATTGTTTGATGAAGTACCTGATCATCAGCCACCATTTGGGAATGCCCACTGGCTTCTAGAGTGTGGCCTTCCTTTATTAAAAATGCTTTGAACTGCCAGGGGTAGTCTCTTCATGTAATTGGTTTTGCGTGGTAATCTGGCCAAGACAGTTGGCACAGAGACTGATGGGGGTGGGGGAGGACAGGGCTCTGACAAACGGCCTCGGGTTCAAGGCATTTCGACTGGCACCAATAAGAATAGTGGGAGGCTGAGTAAACCTGCATCCCTCCAAAGGGCCTCCCCTGATTGTGAGAAGGTTCCTCTAGCCTTATGCAGATTTCACCCCGAGGGCCTGCCAAGTTTAAAGTGTAAGGCTTGACCCTACAAAACAAAAGCTTCAAACCTGTACTTGCTGAATTGTTTTTCCTAATTAAAAACAGGTAAGAGATGATCTGACTATTTTGATCTGAACTTGATTCTAAAGCAGAATGTGATTTTTGTGTGTGTGTGGTGCTGCAATTTTAGTACAAGTTACCTGGTTTCTCAGTGATTTTTTCTGAATCTCAATATTTTCTAAAGTTTTTTTTTTTTTTTTTTTCCTGTCTGCCCCCAGTGGCAGCTACAGTCTTATTCTATAGGAGTCAGTCAGCGTCAAGAGGACACCATTGGCTTCCTGGTGTCAGGACATCCTGTCCAAAATTTTGTATTGCCTGAGAAAGATTGACCCCTTGTGAGCCACGCTTGTTAGCGGTTCTAGACTCAGAGGCTCAGAACTTCAAAGGCACCATCCTTTCTAGGACTGGCTCCTCCTCTAAAAGCCTGAGCTCCTGGCAGCCACTGGCCTCCCCTACAGGGGCAGGGGTGGGGGGTGGCCTGGGAGCTCTGAGCAAGGGCCACTCTGAAGGAGAGATAAAATAAGAGGTCCAATGGGTGTGGTCACTCCTACACCGTCTCTTGATGGTTAATTTTAGGTGTCACCTTGACCGGGCCACAGGGTGTCTAGATATCTGAGTTGAAAACAAGCCATTTCCCCCACCTCAAACTCCTGACCACCATTAAGCTGTTCTGCACCTCTATAATGACGTTATTTTACAAATATTGTATAAATGGCATCATGCAGTATGTATCCTTTTGAGGTTGGTTTGTTTTCACTCAGCATATTTCCTTTGAGGTTCATCCAAGCTGTTGTATGTATCAATGGTTCCTTTTTTTTTTTTAACAGCTTTATTGAGATAAAATTCACATGCTATACAATTCACTTAAAACGGACAGTTTTCATGTGTGGCTCAGTCAGTGGAGTGTGTGACTGTTGATCTCTGGGTTGTGAGCTTGAGCTGCATGTTGGGTATAGAGATTACTTAAAAATAAAATCTTAAAAAAAAAACTAAAAATAAATAAAATGGACAGTTCAATGGCTTTTAGTATATTCATAGAGTTATGCATTCATCACACAACCAATTTGAGAACATTTGAATTACCTCGAAAAGAAATCCCAAGCCCCTTAGTTATAACTCCCTAATCCACCCTGACGTAGGAAAGATGTTAGGGTTCAGAGCCGACAGCCAAGAAAGAATTCTTGAGATGTCTTTGGTGCAAAAAGGTGGTTTTATTAAAGCAAAGGGACAGGACCCCTGGGCAGAAGGAGCTGCAATGGGGTCAGGAGGAGTGGCCCATCGCATACTTTCAAGTTGGGAGAGGGTTAGGGATGGCATAATTCTCTAAGGAATTTTGGAAGCAAGGTTTCCAGGACCTTGAGGGGGCTAGCTATTGTTGGGAAAAGGCCATTTATTACCATCTAATAAAACCTTAGTCATGAGACCCTTCAGATGTATATCGGTGGGCCATATGCTTGGGGGATGACTGCCAACATGTATCTTGGGGAGTAGAGATAAATGAAGTTTCCAAAGGAATTTTTATATGTTAAAGACTTACAGGATTCTAGGGATCAGGCTCAGATTGCCTTTCGCCCTTAACAAAGTATTAACATTGAGGCAGCTGAGCTCCTAGAGGAATGTCACTCTGCCTGTTTCAAGGACTTGTCAGTGGGCTGTAGGTAGTAAGGAAATTTAATTTTTCTTTTGTCTTTTTTTCCCACATCACCCCCCAGCATGCCCCCACTCCAAATCTACTAACCACTAACCTATTTTCTGTCTCTCTAGATTGCCAATTCTGGATATGTCGTATAAATGGGGCCATACGCTATGTGGTCCTTTGTGGCTGGCTTCTTTCACTCAGCATAATATTTTCAAAGCTCAGCCATGTTGTACCATGTATTGGTTCTTCACTTCCTTTTATCGACAAATAATATCCCCCATTGTATGGATCGCACATTTTGTTGACCCATTCATCAGTTGATGGACACGTTTGTGTGGTTTCTACTTTTTTCTTTTCACTGCTGAGTAGTAGTATTCCATGATCTGGAATTCTTGCTTTATTGTTCACCTCTTGAAGGACATCTGAGTAGTTTCCAGCTTTGGGTTATTACAAATAAAGCTGCTGTGAACGTGTGTGTACAAGTTTCTGTGTGAAAACAAGTCTTCATTTCTCTGGGATAAATAGCCAGGAGTGCATGTGGTGGGAAGTCCACTTTCAGTTTTAAAAGGATCTGGCAAACTATTTCCCAGAGTGGCAGTACCGTTTTACATTCTCACTAAGCAATGGGTATGAGCCAGTTTCTCCTCATCCTTGTTAGCTTTTGGGGTTATCGGTATTTCTATTTTAGCTGCTCTTCTAGAAGTGTGATAATATCTCATTGTGGTTTTAATTTGCGTTTCCCTGCAGGTGAGTGATGTCAGACATCCCCTGCTACGCTTGTTTGCTGTCTGTACATAGATCTTCTTCAGTGAGATGTCCCTTTGTGTATTTTGCCAGCTTTCTAATTGGGTTGTTTTTTTAATGTTGAGTTTTGAGAGTTCTTTATATATTCTACATACAAGGCCTTCATCAGATGTGTGGTCTGTAACTGATTTTTTCTTTTTTCCTCCTGTCCATAATTTTCATTCTCTCAAAAGGCGTTTTTGTGCAGCAAAAGTTCTCACTTGGGTGGGGTCCAGTTTATTAACATTTACTTTCATAGATCATTGTGCACCCTTGGTGTCAAGAACTTGCCTAAGGGTAGGTCTCAAGATTTTCTCCCTTTTTCTTCCATAAAAGTTTTATGGTTTTCCTTTTTTCACTGAAGGCCATGATCCACTTTAATTTTTGTCCACGGTGCGAGACTGAGGTTGCGGATTCATGTTTTTACCTCTGGGTATCCTGTTGTTCCAGCCCCATTTGTTGAAAAGGCCACCCTCCTCTGCTGAATTGACTTTGCACCTCTCCTAGCAAACAACTGGGCATATTCACACGGGTGTGTTTCTAGGTTCTTAAAAAGGCATGCATTTTAACCGGACACTTGTGCACTTTCTCAAGCCTTCCTAGCTTGAGGGTGGGTCGGCAGCTCGTTCCTTTTTGGCTCCCCCACAATGCCTGCCACAGAGAACTCTGAAAATGCTCCCAGATCGGCGAGGTTGCATTCTTCAAGAAGGGGTGTGTGTGGAGTGCTCGGAGCCCCCCATGGCCCTGGGAGCATCAGGAAGCTCCCATGGGAATTTGGGGAGCAGCCCAGGTGTAGAGGCCCAACTAAGCCTGACCTGAGCTAACCAGGGTCTCTTTGACTTCAGGTTTTGGACCCTTCCGGAAGTACCTGGTGAATTCCAGCTGGGAAGCAGTGAAGGTAAATGCCCATCAGGCCCAGACCCTGCAGCTCAGGGCCCCACCGATTCCTTCTGTGGCTGAGAAACCCAGTGTGCAAGGCCCCTTGGTAGCCAGGTCCACATCAGAGGGGAGAAGACAAATACTCAGGACCCTGGCAAAAGGACTAGCCTTTGGTCCTTGGGTTGTGCCTAGCCTGCCCCCAGGTGGCCCTTCTGGCTTTGTGGTAAAGAAGAGATTGTGGGGACACTCCTGGGAAGGACGGGGAGTGCCCGAAAGCAGGCTCTGCTGCCCCAAGAGCTAGGTTCCCATGACCCCCACCCCCTTCTGGCCCTGGGGCCTCGGGAAAGTCCTTTCCCCCAGCCTCAGTTTCCTTATGCATGAAGTGGGTGGATAATAGTGCGGATGTTACAGAGGAGGAGTAAAAGAGACAAGCATGTAAAGCAAGTAAGCGTGGAAGTCTGTAAAAACAGCTTTCTGTAAAAACAGCTTTTTATAGCACCTGGCACAAGGTAAGTGCTTAACAGTGGTTGCTATTATAAAGGACACGCCTTTTTTATTATTTAAATTCAATTTAATTAACATATAGTGTATTATTAGTTTCAGAGGTAGAATCCAGGGATTCATCAGTTGCATATAACACCCAGTGCTCATCACATCACACGCCCTCCTTAATGTCCATCACCCAGTTACTCCATTCCCCTGCCCACTTCCCCTCCAGCAACCCTCTGTTTGTTTCCTATAGTTAAGAGTCTCTTATGGTTTGTCTCCCTCTCTGTTTTTATCTTATTTTATTTTTCCTTCCCTTCCTCTATGTTCCTCTGTTTTGTTTCTTAAATTCTACATATGAGTAATAAAGGTGTGTCCTAATATCATATGATTTCACTCATATGAGGACACACTTTTATTTTTAAGGAAGTAGCCGACCAGGAGAAAGCACGTCCTGGGACGGGTTGAGGAGGGGTCAGGGTCTCATGACTAGAGGGGACCACCTCTCCTCCTTGAAGCAAATGCCTCCTACCAGTCCCACGTTGGGTGTCACTTGGTGGCTTAGAACACAGCTGGCTGTTATTTCACACTTGACAGTCAATTTCCTGCCTCTATTGGACCAAATCAAAGGTAGGGTCTTGAGTCTATTCTCAGGGTTCCCCAGTCAAGCTGAAAATGCCACAAAGCTGCTTGAATCACAGGTTTGCTGTCACTAGTATTGCTTTTCTAGACGATCCGCACAGATGCAATCAGGGAAACTCATGACTCTTGAGTTAGAATTTGGGTTGTTTTGTTGTTGCTGGGTTTCTTTTTTCCAGCCAGAAAGAAAGCTCAGAGAACCCCAGACTCACTGCCAAGTCTCACTGCGGTACACAACATACCACAAAGGCCAGGTCAGGGCTTTCGTGAGCTCCCGGGTGTCTGTAGCCTTTTCCTCGAAAAACAGGGCTTTTTCTGCTGAATGTTGGATGGCCCTGAGCCCTTCTATTTCTTTTTGCAGTCATGAAAAAGGGAAACGAGCCAGGCTGCCTGAGTTTGCCTTCCAGCTCCAACAACTGCAACCTGTGGGACCCAAAACAAGCCCCCCCCCCCCGCAGCTTTTCTCTGCCTCCGTTTCCTTATCTGCAAAGTGGGATGGTTGTCATGACTATGGGAGTTAACACATGTAAAACCCTTAGAACGGGGGCACCTGGGTGGCTCAGTGGGTTAAGCATCTGCCTTTGGTGTGGGTCATGATCTCAGGGTCCTGGGATTGAGCCCCATGTTGGGCTCCTCACTCAGCAGGGAGTCTGCTTCTCCCTCTCCCTCTGCCTCTGCCCCCACTCATGGTCTGTCTCTCAAATAAATAAAATCTTTAAAAAAAAAAAAAAAACCTTGGAATGGGTCAGGGTACACTGCTGATGCTCACAGATATCATCCTTATTACCAGGAAGTTATTCTATCAGTCAGTCTTCTCAGCTGTGAGCCAATAGATTCTGAGTTTGGAGAGTCACACAGGAAATGGAATGATGGAGAGGATTATTTGGGAGACTCAAGGTTGACCAATAAAGCCAGAGAAGCAGGGCAGAAACAGAAGCAGGCTAGGGGCTTCCAGGCAGCAGAAATAGGATGGCAAACTAGGTGCTCTGAGGAGCCCTTCCCCTGTAGATAAACTAGATAGGACAGAACTTCCGTGCATTGCTGGGCATGCAGTACGATGCTTTCCAGGAAAGCTTGCATACATGACATCATGTGCATGTATACATCACACATAGGAAGGGCTGCCGCCTGAAGGAGAGACACAAAAGGCAGTGGGGGGCTGGGGAACACCATTATCAGCATTCAGCTTGAGATGAAACCAACACTTGAACTGTAAGCTAGACCCTTGGAAGGGGGTCCTGTGGTTTCTAGCGCCCCAGCTCCCAGCAGAAGCCTAGGCAACTTCTCTTGAAGATGTAAAACCTCAGATTCTCCACAAACTGAGATCAACTAAACAGTAGTTTCCATTCAGATATCACCAAATACATAAAGAAACAGACAGCTTTGAGTAAAAATCAGTAGAAGCAGATTTAGAATCTCAAGAACGTGAGATGCTAAATCATTCTGCTAGACATCATCATAAAATAGCATAACTGTCTGTGAAATATTTAAAGAAGTAAAGATGGAATCACAAAAATGAGACTATCGGGGGGGAAAAAAGACTATCAAAAGATCAGGTAAATTGAAAAAGGGAGTAAGAGAGCTTACAGAAATTTAAAAAAATTGTTGAGGTGAAGAATTCAACAGATGGCTTATATGGCAGTTTAGAATTACGCTAACTGAAAGATGCCAGTCACAAAAGATGACAGTGTAGGATTCCATTTAGGTGAATGTCCAGATGAGGCAAATCTGTTGAGACATAAAGTAGGTTAACGGTTGCTGAGGGCAAGTGCGGGAGGATTGGGGGAAATAGGGAATGACTCTTGATGGGTACAGGGTTACTTCAGGGGTGATGAAAAGATTCTAAAATTGATGGTTGCACAACTCTGTGAATATACTAAAAATCATTGAATTACAGACTTCAGTTTTTTAAATTATAGACTTTAATTGGGTGAATTGTGAAATATAAACATAAATATACATATATATAGTAGTTTACAGAGTGGTGAAGAGAAAATTAGTGAACTAGAAGATAGATCTGAAGATATTATTCAAAGGGCAGATTAAAAATAGGTGGGCAAAGAAGTGAAAAAAGAAATTAAGAGGTATGGATAATAAAATGAGATATTCTAACATATGGCTAATAGGAGTTCCATGAGGAGAGACTAATGAGAATGGAAGAGAATCAATATTTGAAAACAAGGATTGAGACGATTCTAGAAGTGATGAAATACATGAATCCACAGAGCTAAGCGGTACAAACTATACCAAGCAAAGACTAACAAAATCCACACCTACGCACACAGTAAAACCACACAAAACAAAGACAAAGAGATCTGAAAAGTTGCCTGAGAGAAAAGATAGGCCACCTGTAGAAACTGGCCATACAGTGAGACTGAGAGTAAATTTCTCTAAAACAATAGTAAAAACCAGAGAACAGTGGAGTAATATCTTCAAAGTCCTGGGGGGGGCGGAAATGTCAACCTGAAATTGTTTTTCAAGAAATTATTTTTCAAGAACAAGAATGAAATGAAGACGTTTTCATAAAAATAAGCACCAAGAGGGGCACCTGGCATCCGGAAGCATAGAGCCCCACGTCGACTGTCACCTCATTAGCATAACAAAGACACTCCTGCCACTCGGGAAATTCCAGGGGTTTTGAAGCTCTGTGCTTGGAACTAGGGACAAAACCCAGATATATTCTTTCTTATACCACAGTTCCCAACAGGGGTTTCCTGTCTAGGGAGAGGAGGTGGCCCTTAAGTAAAATCATTAAAACGTGAAGCGGATTCGGAAAAGCGCTACATTGTGAGATACTCTGAAGAGGAAGAGATTCACTTCATTCTGGAGAACATATGGAAGAAAGGAACCTAAAGCAAAATGAGAGCAAACTACTCCCCAGCCCCACCCCAGAAGTCAGTGGGATCGCCATCGGGTGGAAGCAGGATGAAGGACAGACTGATTTCTGGCAAGTGGGAATAAGTTCTCAAGCCACTGTGTGCTGGGTACCACACGGGACACTCTAGGCAGAGGAGCTTGTGGAGTTCTTCCCGCAGTCCAGAGAAATCGATATTTATTCCCATTGTGCAGGTGGGGAAATGGGTGCACAGGGAGGTTGAGTATCTGGCCCAAGGACACATGCCATCTAGATTCCAGTCTCCTATGGTCCTGGTGAGTGAAGTCCAGGTTCATCCCACTCTTCCCCCTGGGGGAAAACAGCATCTGGTTCAGAGGAGGAGGACCACTTCCAGCACAATAATGCCTTATGAACTTCCTAGAACTCAAGAAACATCCAGAACCACACTACCCAATGACCCCCGGGTGAGCAAAGTGAGGATTCACACCCAAACGCCTTAGCCCTACGGCCATGTCATCATGGCAGACCCTCTGCTGTGAGCTCATCTCCGCCCCCTTCCCAGCTCTGAGACACGGACAAGGCGACCTGCTGCTCAGTCTCCTAGCTCAGGAGGTACCACAGTGGTGATGACCAGAACAGAAGCCTCCCTAATAGCTGATGAGGAAGCGAGCCCAAGCCCGGCTCCCGGCACCCACTGCCACCCCCACTGACCTCCTCCTCCGGTCCCTGCTCTGGGTCTCTGGTTTCTGCTCCACTCTTCTTTCTGGCTTTTTTCTCCAGGGCAGAGTCACTTGTGATTAATTTAGAGGCTCTCTTCACTCTCAATCTGCAGGACCATTCTCACTTCCTGGGCTGCCCTGGGTCATTTTGTGGCCTCCACTAACAGGTCTGCAGACTCCATTCAGTGTTAGACTTTCTCATTCTGGTTTGGAACCTCACTGGTAGCATCCACTCTAAGTTGCCAGCAGACTGCCAACGGAACATCCTTTGCAGGGCTAATCATCTAAGCGGCCATATTAAGGCAAAGGTCCAGCCTAGTTCATGTACATACGTTTGAC